TGTACATTTGAGCCGCGAGGTCGAATGGGGGCATTCCGGACAGGACCGTCGCCGCCGCGTGGCTTATGGTTCGGTAGCCCCTAGCCGCTCGTATGGCCACCCGCCTCTGCATTTTGCGCAGTAAGTCGCGCAGACGGCGGGTGGCGGCTACATCCTCCGCCCACACTGGGGCTCCATATAGGGCCACCGAACCCACCACCGCGGCATAAACGCGGCGGACCCTTCCGCCCGGTCCCCCGAGATTAGGGAGGAGTCAACCTAACCTAACCTAACCTAACCTAACCTAACCTAACCTAACCTAACCTAACCTAACCTAACCTAACCTAACCTAACCTAACCTAACCTAACCTTTTTTTTTTTTTTTTTTTTTTTTTTTTTTTTTTTTTTTTTTTTTTTTTTTTTTTTTTTTTTTTTTTTTTTTTTTTTTTTTTTTTTTTTACGAGAGAGGAGAAAATGCAGTTACGCACCCCCTGGTCCCCGTAGACCAGGGGAGTGTGGGACTCGGCCTATTTAACGGCCCCTACCCACTAAAAACTCCTCTCTGTGCGTCCATCCGATGTGGCCGACCTCCCAGGCAGCACCCGCTGGAGCACTAACCGCCTGGGAGGTTACGCCTAATGGGGGCTATTTGCCCCCCCGTCTTGTCCGGGCTTCCTCCGGTCCTGCGTGTGCGTGTTGCGTGTTACTGTGTATGTGTGATGTGTGTGTGAATGAGTGCCGTAAGTGTAAGTGTGTGTGCTGTTTGTGTGAGTGTTTGTATGTGTGCGCGTAAGAAATGTGGTGACTGATGATACCCTGACCCTCCCATATATATATAATCCCCCCCCTTAGTCCCATCCCTCACCCCCACCCTCTCCTTCCCCACCCACCGCCCTACCAATGGCCCCGATCGCGATATATGTCCCTGTATTGGCTCAAGAAGAGTCCGTGTCAGTGTGTGTGTGTTGTGATAATGAATGAATGATTTCCCGTACCACCCCTTCCCCTTCCCCAGAGATGTCCCCCCCCCTACCCTAATTCCCCTAGTAACCCAGTCCCCATGACCCTCAACCCGATATAATGTCCCCTCGTGTGGTGTAATGTTTGCGGACCCTGTAGTGCCATCGTTTCTGTTGTGGCTCCACTCTCCTCCTCGTCGTGTGTAAGTGAGTCTTAATGCTCTCCAACGTTCCTCCTCTTTTTCGGATAGACTAAAGCTTAAAGCTTAATCCTTTGTCCTACTAGTCCTGCTTCTAGAAAGCTTGTGTTCCTGATTGAGTGTGTGTCTGTGTATGTGTGTGTGCATGTGTGTGTGTGTGCGCGTGCGTGTATGTGTGTGTATGTGTGTGTGTGTGTATAATGATGAGTGATGATGATGATGATGAATGAATGAATGAATGAAGGATGGTGATGAGTGAGTGAGTGGGTGAGTGAATGAATGAGTGAATGAATGAATGTGAGTGTGTGTATGAGTATGAATGAGTATGAATGAACGAGTGAATGAATGATGAGTAAGTAATGATATAATAATGTTATTCTTTTCTTTTCAGGGTGCAAGTTTCTGTTCCTGCTTCGTTCCTGGTGTGGTCGTAGATCAGGATCTCCAGCGTGTCAGGTAAATAAATATATGTACCAGACAGACATCACTAGGTAAGTATGTGTATCCAGGTAGGTATACCGGTAAAAGGATATCTCCTAACCTATCCTCACATATTCTCATCATCGCTATCTGTGTCTACGTTATGATTGCCTCGCGTGTGTTCACGAAGCCTTTCCGCTTCCTCCTTTGTGTGAATGACTGATTCAGCGAAATGCACGACTGCACTCCAATTCTTTTCGTCCTCGCACATTTTCTCTATGATGGTGGCCAAGCTGAGGTCAGGACCAATTATTCCTTGCAGGATACTGCGCTCTTCTACCCATCTATCACACACCTGAAGGGTGTGTTCCGTTGAATCCTCGTGTATATTGCAGAAAGAGCAAATTGAGCTCTCTTCCTTGCCAATCCTATATAGGAACGTGTTAAAGCAACCATGTCCCGTCAAAAGTTGGGTGGTGCGATACGTCAATTCACCATGGGTGCGGTTGAACCACAGGCTAATATGGGGCCCAATGGCGTCGCACGTGCGTCTACCAAACGCTCTCTCGCTGGCAACCATGATTTGCCATTGCCGTAGCATTAATACTTTTTCATTGTCTTTTATCTCGTTTTCTTTCTCTTTGCTCCATTCATCTGTCCTCTTTAGATCCATGATTCGCAGGAAAACTCTCCTTAGATATGCAGATTTCAGTGATACTGGCGCTATTCTCGCTAGGATAAGCGCAGCGTCTGCAGAGACCGTTCTGTACCCAGATATCACTCTTAGAGCCAACATTCTTTGTACTCTCAGTATCATTTTCCTCAAATTGGTACTTCCGCTGACTTCCTCGCTCCAGATTGGAGCCGCGTACATGATAACAGAGTTAACAGTATCTGCATACAGTCTACGCTTCTTCTCCATGGGGCCCTTGAGATTGGGCATAAGTCTACCTAACTGTCGTGTGACTCCCATTGCTTTCTCCTCTACGTACTCGACGTGGTCCTTAAACGTCCAGCCCTGGTCCAAGAATACCCCAAGGTATTTCATGGATTTCTTAACCAGAACCATTTCCTGCCCAACTCGTAGATATAGATTATCAGGTATCACTCTTTTCTTCCTGTTATTTCTGAAGATTACTATCTCCGTTTTCGCCTCTGCAACCTGTAGATCCAATTTCTTAATCCGCTTTATCGTTTTGCTGATTTGCAGGTTCGCTCTCGTGATGCCTTCTTGAAGATCTGTGGCCCTGGTAAGTATCAGGGTGTCGTCAGCATACCCCACTACCACAGAGTCTCTTTCCAACGGTACCCTCAGGGCCCAGTCATAGGTCAGATTCCATAAAGTGGGACCCAAGACTGAACCCTGAGGGACCCCTGCCGTCATTTTCCGTACTTGTGTTATTCCTTCGGAAGTAGAGAACTCTACACTTCTATTAGATAAGTAGCTATTTATCATTTTCCTTATATATATTGGGAAATTTCTATCCTTAAGCATCGCTCTAATGTGCTTCCATTTAATGGCGTTAAAGGCGTTGCTTATATCCAAACTCGTTGCGATGACCATATCACCGCAGCAATTTGCATTTTGTACATATTCCTTGACGTATTGCAAAGCATCGCATGTTGATTTTGCCTTGCGGAACCCATACTGCATGTCAGTAAGGCAATATTGGGGGTTCTTTTCTATCCAGTCTTCCATTCGTTGCACGAGTACCCTTTCGAGTAGTTTCCCGAGCTCACTTAATAGGCATATAGGCCTCACTTTTGGATTATGCACATCCAGGACCCCTTTTGGAATCAACACTAGGATTGCTCTCTTCCAGGTGTTGGGGAAGCATCCATTCCGGAGACAGATATTAAAATACTCTGCAATTCTTGATACCATCACGTCCGGTGAGCGTTTCAAATATAGCGCCTTCACACCGTCGTCGCCCGGAGCAGTATTTGCTACCATACGTTTTCGCATAAGTCTGTGAATCTCTAGAGATGAGATTTCATCCTCTTCATCCCAGCTATCCATCTGCGTGGAAAGATCTTCGGCTCTGTCGTCCCATTGTTCATCATAGGGGAATAATTTGTCCAAGGTTGCGTTTAGGACATCGGCCTTCAGCATCTCCGCAACACTAGGGAAGGTTCTCCTAAGTTTCTTCAGGACCACCTTATAAGGTAAGCCCCAAGGATCGGATTCAATAGTTTGTAAAAGTTCCTCCCATGCACATGCTTTAGCCTTATTTATTTCTCTTTTCAGTAATGCTCTCGCATTCCTGTATTCCTCTTCGAGTAGCGCCATTTGATGTTGGAAGACACTACGTCTTGTCTTGGATCTTTGCCATTTCTTCCTGGCTCTTCTGCAATCAAGTCGAAGATTTGCAATGGTGTTATTCCACCAATATACTTGAGCTTTTTCAATCTTTTTGATGCGCGGCATAGACATATTACAGGCATTGTCGTAGGCCTCGACCAGCCATTTAGCTGCTTCCTCAGCCGTGTTTAGTCTCGGTGCATCCGTGCATTTCCATTCAAGGATCTCAGAATACAGATCCACATTCATCTTCTTAAAGCTCCACTTGGGGTACTTCCTTTTCCTGACAATTTTGTAAATATTATTTTCATCCGTATTCACATCATTTCCTTCCCTGTACATATCTACACTATTTACATTGATAGGATCCTGTACATATGTTTCATCTCCATTACTGTACTATATTCATTGTTATTATTATTTATTTACACTGTACATATATTCATTTTCATTATTTGCACTGTACTATATTCATTTTCATTACTTACATTGTACATATCTTCGTTTACATTATTTACACTGTTAATTTTAAGCTGGAACATGATGTACATGTGATCCGAGTACGTAAATTCGTCAAGGACTCTCCAATCTTGAATCCGACTTTGCATGTCCGCAGTTATCCATGTTAGATCGATGATTGAATCGCCTTGATGTCGGACGCACGTTGGGGTGATACCATCATTTAGAATCCTAAGATCCTTACAGGTCGCCCAACGGGAGACCTTTTCGCCCCGACTATCTGTGTTTCGTGCGCCCCACAACCGATCCTTGGCATTAAAGTCGCCAGCGATTATTATTCGACGAAATTTCAGTTCCTCTATCATGACATCCAACTCATTTAGAAATCCGGAATACTCGCGGTCACTAACATTGGGCGAGATATAACATGCAATAACCGCAAAGTCCTTGCACATCACCGCCACGCTGTGTTTGCCCTGTTTTACGGGCCTTACAATCTCTTCCAACCATTGGCTATTCCAGTGGATTGCCACCGTGTTTAGCGTATTCTGCGACCACGTACCATCACTGGGGATGTTGTGAGGCTCCGACACTATGGTGATGCCGACTCGTTTTTCCCTCTCAAATTGCGCCAATAGATCCATTGCCGCTCTACAGTGATTTACATTGCATTGTAGAAACTTAATCATGATGATTGTCTGTCTCCATCTGCGTTTCCTCTGTCCTCCGCACAGGGGTAGTGTCTTCTTGCTCCACTGCTATCTTGACTCCCTCACATTGAGGAGAGCCAACGCGATGATTGCTCTCTCTCTTTAATTTTGCGCAAAGCACACACCTGACTGGGTTTTGGCACGCTCTTGCGTTGTGCCCTTTTCTGCCACACCTAAAGCAACAGTCGCTATAGTCCACATTCACTTTGCAGCTCCTAACAGTGTGACCTATACGCCAACACCTGTAGCACTGCAGAGGCCTGGCTTGCAGTAACTCTACTTTAGCTATCGTCCAGCCTATGGGGATCTTCCCCTTGTTTGCGATTGCAATTGCGGTTTTAAGGGGACAACGGAGCCACACATTATTGAGTCCCGTTCTAGTCGGACGAATCGCGCCAACTGTGACCTCCTGCATGCCGCATTCTCCGTTCTCCGCTATTGCATATTCGATCTCCTCTTTTGTAATAGACTCTTCAAGACCGATGAGCCTCAATTCTCCCTTGATAACTGGACGGGTTACCACAGCGTCTTCTAGGACTTCTTGGAGTTTGGCAACCAGCTTGTCTGCCTTTTCGGAATTTTCCGGACCAGAGATTTCAATTATTGTGGCACCATTGATGCCTTTCCTAATGTTGGGTGTTCCAATTTCTAACTCGCTCAGCGATATGCTAGAGCGAGCCTTTCTTAGCGCCTCCGCGTAAGAGAAATTTTCACTCCTACCTTTAATGCTTACGGCAGCGGTTCTGGGGATTCTTCTCTTGGGAGCCTTGGGAGCCTTTTCTTGCATGCCGCTCGTCCTTCCTTTTCCTCTCATCTCCTGTTCTTCCTTTCTTGAGGGAGGAAGTGGAGGGCCTGAGACCGGTTGGTTCAGGGCCTCCCCCTTCCTCTTCCTTTTCTCCTTTCTCTTCTCCTTCCTTAATACTTTAATCCATTCTTGATTTTCCGTACCTGCTGTACTCTGTTGCTTAGCCAGATTATCCTGCTCCCCAATTTGCCCGTCGCTCGTATTCGGCGGGACCAATTGGATGTTTTCTACTACTCGTATTCTGGGCTTTCTCTGGGGGAGTGGGGGAGGAGGGAGGGCCGGAGGCGGCATACTCTCCTCTTCCTTCGCCCTGTCAGACACCGTCTCTCCTCTATCCTCCTCCGTCCTACTCATTAAAGCTCTGACCTTGGTCAGGGTCGCAATCTGTCTGTCCAAATTATCTAATTTATCTTTTTTCTGTTTCAGGTACTCCGGGATTGGCACCGACTTACCACGAAGGGGCGGTCTCATCACCACGGAAGGACTCCTCGACCTGCTTTCGTCCCTCGATCTGGACTCCACGGATGAGTTCCTAGATGAATGCATCTTCCATTTAGTGCCAGACTCTTCTACTCTTCGAGGGGGGGGACCTTCCCCCTCCCTCTCGCTTCTGCTGACAACTCTCTCTTCACTATTTCTTCTTACTTCCTCGCGTACGCGTCGTAGCTCCTCTCTCATCTCTCTATTCTCTTTTCTTAGCTCATTTATTGTTTCTCTCAACTCACTAACCTCTCGGTTGCGCTTTTCTTCCTCCTTTTTATGCTTCTTAATTTCGTTCATCAATTCTCCTAATTTGTGTTTTAGGAACTCCGGGTCATTCTTTGATTCCGCCTTAAACTGTAATGCTCGGACCATTTCCTCTAGGCACGTCTTTCTCTTCTTCAATTCGCCGCTTAGGCCGCCTTGCAGTCGGCCACTCTTCACTCGTATGACTTCTAAGTGCTCTAAATACTCGAGAGCTTGCGCGCTAATGTCCGAGGCCGTCATGCTCAAGAGCAAATTCTCATCGATGTGCTCTGGTGCGACTCCCGTTGCTTCCATGATTTTCTTTTCCGCCTCTTCAGGATCGATGGCCCGTTTACACTTCTTCGGGCGACCTGGCTTCTTCCGTTTCTCTTCATCAGTCTCAGACGCCGAGCCCTGAGCAGTGTTTTTTCCATCACCACACGCCGGCGCTATCGTCTGAGAAGGCTCTTCCTGTGAGTCACCGTTTTGATCGTCATCACGCAGTACGCGCCTGTTTCTGATCCTGAGCTTAGGAGGCCTCATGACCTCTTCTCCATTTTCCTCCTGTGAATCAATTTCTTGAGGTCGATTCTTCCTCTTAGGCGCTCTATTAGCGTCTTCGTAATCCATTCCTATGGGGTCAGTCACCACACTAGATGGCATCGCCTCCAGCGTCCCCATCGGGGGTACCTCCTCCATTCGAGGTGCCTTTAAGTCGTCGATGGGTTCAGATGTCTCATATGGAGGCGTTGCTACGTCCTGACTGATTGCCATCAAGCTAGGAGCTTGCGACGTCTCTTCTTGTTGCGATTCGGTGGGGGTTTTACCCTCCAACTGCCGAGCCTCCCACTCTAACATTTCTTCCTTAGCCAAAGATGTTGGGATGGCTACTCCTACGTTTTCTACTCGCTCAACCTGTGGGGGGTCAAGCACCTTTCCTTCTTCGGTGACCTGCGTAACATCTTCAGTTTTTGGGTTTTGATTTAAAGATTCCATAATAGTAAGAGATTCTAGGACCGGTTCGGTCATCGTGACAGCTTGCCGCAGCGAAGCTACTTCCCCGGTTAAAAGAATACCCTAGTGACATGCAGGGGAGCGGAGAAGCCGTTTTCGGGGGGCGAACCCTACCCCTGCCTGTGGCTCTAATAAAAGATTTCCCGGAGTGGGCCGGGCCCACAATTATGCAGAGGTTTATACTCACCCCAGGTCCGGGACGCGTGCTGATCCGAGCAGCCGCTCATCCCGAACCCGGGCTAGAGTTTGCCGGGGTATATCCCCCACCGGCAGGGTATGAGGAAGAGGGAGCCACCCTCCCCTCCACACTGTGCTCCCGGAACGCGCGCTTCAACCCCCGGATAGGCTCCGATCAAGGGTGCGGAGCGGTCTTCCCTCTAGTGTGCCCTCCCCGTTCACGGGACCTTTGCCGGGGAGTCCGGACTTATATTTACCCTTATTACTAGGGGAGGAGCCTGGGTACTGACTTCACGCACCCTTCCCGGTCGGGGGGCAACTACTCCCCCCTTGGTTAGTCTCCGGGGAATATCCACGCGCGTCCGTTCACACCTCATACACACACACACGCATACCAGGCTATTGTAAAGAAGGGAGCCACCCTTACGAAGAATAAGAGGGGGATTTTGGGGACAATGGGGCGGATAAGGATGGGAGGTAAGGTGGGAACACACGCGCAAGACGCGCCATTCATCCATCCACGCACACATCCACACACCAGGAATTAAGGATTCATGGGGCAATGGGAAGGAGAAGGAGGTAAGGGTGGGATGGGTAAGAGAGACTAAGAAAGGATATCTAAGGATAGGAGCAGGAATTGGGGATACAAGAGGATTGGGGTGTTTTTCCACCCTTAACGGGATCCTCAACCCGGGCGATTGCAGTCAGGGCCGCCTACCCCTATGCGCATCAGGCCAGAGTGCCCGGAGGGAGCGCAACCCCCCTTCCTCCCCTTCCGGGGAGGGAAGTGCAATGCAGGCTCTTGGTCACCGCCCCCCGGTCCCCGGGCCCCCCCGACACGAAAGTGTCGAAGTGGGGGCCCGAGAGACCCACCGGGCCCCCCCCGACACCTAGGTGTCGAAGTGGGGGGCCCGATGGGCCCGGAGACCGGGGGGCGGCTAAGCCCCTCCACCACGTCAAGGTGGCCTGCAATCGGAGGAGAACCTAACCTAACCTAACCTAACCTAACCTAACCTAACCTAACCTTTTTTTTTTTTTTTTTTTTTTTTTTTTTTTTTTAACGACGGGGAAAATGCATTACGCAGACCCCCCAATGCTCCGGCGCATTGGGGGGTACTGTGGGACTCCCCGGCCCTCGGGAGAGGCTAGTCCTCTCCCTCGGTGTGCAATGCCGGGTATACCCACTAAAAACCCCGTCGTGCAGCCGCCCTTGCTGCAATGCCCAGTCCCCGCGTACACGCGGCAGCATCCCAAACGGGGACCGGGCGGCCCGGCCCAATTAAGGGCCCCTCTCCGCAGGGGTCCGGCCCTGCCCTCCTCTCAGGAAGGAGTACGCGGAGCGATTCAGTTTTTGAATCGGTCCGCGTAGTCCTTCTTCTTCTTCATTTCCGGCGGGGGGGTGTGGGAGAACTCTCTTTATGAGGGTCCTCCCCACCCAGCACAGCCCTCGCCATCTCCTTCTCCCGTTGGGCGGCGGAGGATCGGTCAGCCATAGTCCTCTTCTTAGAGGACCCGGCCGAACGACCCTCCCCGCCATCGGTGGAGCCCTTTTCCGAGGCAACGGAGGAGGGACCCTTGTTCGCTTTCGAACGGGTCACTCTCTCCGTCCCCGCGGGCCCTGCTGGGGCGGAGGTTTCGGGGGGTTGAGCCCTACGCGGGCCCCCCTTACTCCCTCCGCCGGAAGCAGCCGGGGCCGCACCCTCGCTCGTCGAGGGTTGCGTGCCCGGGCCCTTCCCCTTCCCGGTGGCCTTTTTGGCCAACGCGGCTTTACGCCGGTGGGCGACCTTTGCGCTAGGCACGCAAGTGGCCGCCCCCAGCGAGTGACCGTCGGGAACCCCAACGTCCGCGCACAGCGGACACTTGGGCGTCCCCGCCGGGCACAGCCGCGACTGGTGGGAGCGGTCGCCGCACCTATGGCAGCGGCCACTCCTGTCCGGCCCTTTACAGCCGGCCGCCCCGTGGCCCACTTCGAGGCAGCGGAAGCACCGCATCCGGCGGGCCGGGAGTGGTTTGACAACCACCACGCCCCACCCGATGCAGAGCTTCCCCGCCTCGACGACCTTGTTGTAGACCGGCACGGGGCAACGCAGCCACACGGAGCCCATCCGACCCGGGAGAAATCGGATTTCTCCCACGGACAGGTCCTCCGCGCAGCAGTCCGTCAACCCCGTGACGGCCTCAACCACCTCTTGCCGAGTGACAGAGTCATCCAGCCCCTGAAGGCGCAACTCTGCGCGCTTCTGGGGCCGGGTGACCCTGACTCCCGGCCTCCCCCCCAGGAGTTGTCGCATCTTCGCGACAAGCTCCTCTGCCAAGCGGGGGCCCTCCGTTCCAGATAACTGGAACAGAGTGCCCCCAGCCTGGGACTTCTTCAGGACCGCGAGTGTCCCGCTCCCCCGTATGATCTCCCTTGCAGGGGCTATCAACTTCAAGGCCTCCCCCATGGTCATCCCCGCCTCAGGGGCGACGGTCAAAAGGACCGCCGCCGTCTTCGGCTCTCGGATGACCCTGGCGGAGGCCTTGCCCTGCTTCTTCTTCTGGGGAGGCACCTTTCCAGCAGGTGCCCCCTCAGCGCCCTTCTTCGGGCCCTTCTTCTTCTTCTTCCCACTGCTCCCCCCTTTGCCACTAGTGGCAGGGGGGGGAGCAGTCTTCTGGGAAGAAGTACCCGCCTCTCCGCGGGTCTTGCGGGCCTTCCTGCCCACCACCTTGCTCCACAACTCCCTCCCTTCTGCGGGAGGGGGCCTTGGAGGCTCGGTGGGCCGGGCCGTCTCCTCTGTTCGGGGTCGGAGCACCTCGACGACCCGAGCCACGATTCTCTCGACCAAAAGGTCTTGAGAGGCGGCCGGGTCCCCGAGGGGCTCCTCCCGAACGGAGACCGGAGGTGGAGGGTCATCCCTCAACACGGGAGGCCCCTCCATCTCCGTCTCCATCGCCTCGATGCCACACTCCGCCCCGGGGGCGGTGTGGGGCACGGGGAGGGCAAGGTCCTCTCGGCTCTGGTGGCCCGAAGGGTCTCCTTCGCCTTGAGGACCTCAACCTCCCTCTCCAACCTCTCCACCTTCCTCTGGGCCTCCTCGAACAGACCCTTCGCGGCCTCAAGGTCGCGACGGGTCCGCTCGAGGGCCCCTCTCTCCGTTTGTTCACCCGCGCTGATGTTCGCGCGGGTGAACAAGAGCTTGGAGGCGGCCAGAGCCCGCCGCGTCGCAGCCCGAAGCGCTCCCCTCAGGGTACCCTTCAGGGACTTCGAGCGCTCAGCGACGCGCTCCACCGCCTCCATCTCTTCCATGACGACATTGATGAGGGAGTCGACGGTCTCGTTGTCGAGCTCCCTCATCACGTCGTAGGAGGAGGGGAGTCCCCCCGCGGTCGGTCCGAAGTCAACTTCGAACCTGGCCCCGAGGATATCCCGCTCCTCCTTTACTCGCTCCAGCTCCTTCTTCAGGAGCTCCAACTCCTTGCGGACCCCCTCGACACCGACCCACTCGCCGGTTGTCGCGGGGCGTCCGCGTCCGCGCTTCGGTCGCGCGTCCCCCCCGTGCCTTAAGGTATACGCCGTATCCGACGAGTACTCGGAGAGCGACATTTCATTGTCGGTCCCCGAGCCCACGTCGGACGACGTATCCTCGTCGTCGGTGGAGGCTACGGCTTTCGGCGCCGTGGGCCCCACCCTCTTCCTCTTGGAGGACAGTGGACCAGGACGCTTGAAGCAAGCCTCCTCGTCCTCTGCCCTCGCCGTCGAAGGACCCGGGGTCGCCGGCGCTGGACTAGCCTGCGCTCCCGGATCCTGCCTCGTGCTCCTGCGCACGGGGTCTTTACTCCCCCCTTACCAAGGCCTGGAACGGTCTTCCGCAGACCCTTGGCTAAAACAGAGATAGCCACATCTCCACCGGAGCTCTCTGGAAACTCCGATGGAAGCCCGACGTCGGATGACGACGAGGGAGGGGCCGGGACGATACCCCCCACACCCGCCGGGCCCTGTGGCTCCGAAACCACTGGGCCGGTACGTTTCTTCTCTTCTTCGGTGTGCTCCATGGTTATCTGAAAGAAATTGGTTTTCTGTCGGGGTTTTCCTTCCCTTAGGACATGCCGTCCAGAGGCTCACGGGCTGTCCAGACCGGGTTTTTAATTCGAGGTTTTCCTTCCTCTAGCCACCGGGATGGTAGACCCTGACAGTGCAGGGGCATCCCTAACGGTCGTGGCCGACCGGGCGATTGAAGTCAGGGCCGCCTACCCCTATGCGCATCAGGCCAAGGTGCCCGGAGGGAGCGCAACCCCCCTTCTCGTGATGTCCGCGCGGCGGCTTTGGGCTACTCTCATACTCGCTACTCACGGCCCGAAGGCCGCTTTCGTTTTCGCTTTCACCCGCCACCACCGCGACGAACACCACGAGGAAGTGCAATGGTGCGCTCTTAGACCCCTCAACCCGAAGGAAGAGGGGAGCTCCTCCACCACGACAAGGTGGCGCACCATCGGAGGAGTGCACCCTTCAAAGAGGGCCGAAAACAGGGTCCGGATCGCTACGGGTCCCCTCGGAGACCACGCACGTCGGCCACCCTGCCCACTAGTTTTATTCCCCCTCTGCCGGGGGACCACCTCTGGTGGTGTCCCCCCAGGTGTCCAGCCACCCGGGGGGACCCAGATGATTCGCGTGTGCCTTCGCGTGTTTTAGAGTGGGGTAAGGCAGGCCCCCACTAGGTAGACTCCTGTGTTGAGAGATGTGCCTTCCTCTCGACCGAGCTCCCCTCATTTTAATGGAGGGCCCACTCACCTAGGCAGAATCGGCAGAGAAGTATCTCGTCGACTACTACTCGGGGCGATGCCCTCCCCGGCGTTTGGTC